TGTAAAGACATGCAGTCAGATAGACAGGTATTCAGACAGACAGATGGGTATTTAGAAGTCTAGTTGGGGTCTCACCCTCGTCCAGGAGTCTCTCCAGATGCTGAAATATCCCACAGAAATTTGGCAGACTGCTCATCAGCTTCTTATCGTTCATGAGCTGCATCAAGTAATCCGGACTTGGTCTAGTTTTCTCTTTTCCCTCCATCTCCCACACCGGTATCCGGCACAATGTAAGAACACAGAAGTTAGGGTGGTCCGGTTCACAGTGGGCCTCCTGCTTGGGTACAGAGCATTTAACAGACCAGGACCCGGAGCAGATCCTAGAGCTGCTCTCTGTCTCCTCTTGTTTTAATCCAACAAATTAATAAACGAGAAATCACAGACATCCAAAACCCTCATGAGGCAGGGGAACCATCAGGATCACAGGAGAATCCAGAGTGACCCAAGATGTGGTCCCTTCAGCAGCTCCAGCTGTCTCCCCGGCTTTCTGGAGCCCCCCAGTGCACAGTTCTCTGTTCCTCTGGTCCCCAATACAATCTGTCACACAAGACACACTCACCCTGAGACAGACTGTGTAATGTGTGTGAGGGTGTGTGTGCGGGAGGGGGAGCTTAAACAACAATACAAGATTTCAGAAAAGAAGTTTAGTTTAAGTCTGTCAGACAGCCATACGTTGATTCACCTTCTTCAGCTGTTAAAACACAACAACGGGTTGTGTGATGTAACATTTTACTTTAAATGCAATGCAGTGAGTAACTGAGATCACCCACGGTGCAATGAACAACCCTTTCAAAACTAAGAGGACAAATACTTTACATGTTTCTTTTTCTTCTCCCAGTTCAGTTTGTAATTATTTTCCATCGTTATAGTAATGAACATTAATTTTGACTAAAAGTGGAGTTAAAAAAGTATTATAATAAAAACTTTCTGGCTAACTTCTGACTTGACACACACATGCACACACACAGGTACAAGCACACACAACAACATATAAAAACAAGTTTATTCAATATTTATTGTTGCTATATACTATACAGATTACAGTATGAGTATGTTCAGGCCATTTTCAAAACTTTTTCACAAAACCTGTTTACAACCCTATCCCTAAACAACTCATTCAAACTACATGTTAACACTTATCTGACATGTTTACACCATTATGAATCAAGATGTTTAGACCATTATCACTAAACACATTCACATATTTTACCTCAACTTGTTAATATATTTAACTCTATATGTTCTAACATTCCACACATTCAACCTTTCATCACTCTTAAATCACTCAACAAGATCACATATTAATGTTCACACCTTCATTCAACCTATTCATAACTTCATCACTTAACATGTTCACACTTTCATCATGTAACAAGCTGAGAAGTTGATGAGTCTTTACTCGCTTGTACACAGGTGAGTAACACATTCACACAGCACGATCACATCATCAGCAGTCTACATGTACACTCTTACTCCACTTTACTTTCACACTTTCACCTGTCACCATGTATATAACCTTGTTATCACTTAACATGGGCTAATTATGTGAGGCTACCTCTGTACTTTAACTGTGTACTCTGTTGAATGAAAAACTGGTTTCCCATTAATGTCATGATTTTTAAATATTCTAAGTGATAACAATCTAAAGAAAAGAAAACATATTTCATCTAAGTTAAATGAAAAGGGCGAGAAAAAGGGAGAGAGAAAACGCTCTTTCCCAGCGAATAAAGTTAGTTGGAATCTGCTGCTTTAAACACTTTAATTGGTTAAATGGTTTTACTTTTTTTCATATGGAAATGAGGTTCCCCCATCTCCCCCTTTGGACAGCCACAGAAGGGAAGAAAAGCCATGAAAGGAGAGGAAAGGGGTCGGAAAGAGAGGTTGGGGTGCAACAAAACTTCTCCTTCTTGTGTTTTGGCTGGAAACTCGTCTCTCTGAGCACAAAAACGTCACGTTGAAGAATGTGTGAACCACCACCAGAGCCTCTGTTTGACTCAGGCTTTGTCCGCCTGGATGCAAAGCATTAAAGAGTGCCTGCAGACTGTAGGGAGGCCTGCAGCCAAAAACTCAGGGCTTCAAATACTCTTTTATCTACTAAAGAAGATAGTTTAAATGGAAACCAAACAGTGAGCCTTGTGTAGAGGATACAATACAACTTGCCTTCTTTTTCTGGGGGTTTTTTTAACAAAAAAAATTGCTGATAGAGTGATATTTGCCGACCAATAATGGAAGCTAGTTCATTTCCTTTAGCATGTAAAGAATTTTAACCACTCTTGTCATGGCTGAAACTTTAACAATTCTGGGGTTTTTCACCCTGTAAGGATGTAAAGGACCACTGTACTACAGCCCTGTCTATTTTGGAGGCGATATAGGACATTTTAGAGAAAGGCAATAATCCATGAGATCTGTTGACTTTACATGAGCTAAGCAGCTGGATGACGTTTCTGCCATCTCCAAAGTCACTAATTTCTCAGCTCGCTCTGGCATGAGTAGCATCGCTATAGTTTGTAACGCTACAGTTGTGACATTGGTCAAAATTCAGCGGCTTGTGGGGAAAATACATTTAGCCCATTTGATCAGCAAATCAGAGCGGTGGCTCTGCGAGGGCACCTGTCGATTATGCAATGAGAGTCATTGGAAGAGGATGCTACAGTGTTTAGGTTGTAAAAATCAGCTCCATTGTGCAAAACAAACCGCCCACTTCGGGATATCCCATGTTTTTTTTCCATAATATTCTGGGTTCCACAAACATTTCAGGGAATGTTGTAAGTTATTTGGAGAATAATTTCCTCATCTTTATTGTATAGGAAAGGGACTGTAGTTTCAAAGTGGGCGGCAGAGGATAGAATCCGACCTGTGGCTCCATTCCTGCATGTCCCCTACTCTCTTTCTCCCTGATTTCTGATTCTATCTCTCTGAATAGAATGAACTCTGGACGGTAGTAGCTCAGTCTGTAGGAACTTGGGTTGGGAATCGAAGGGTCGCCGGTTCAAGTCCAGAAGTTGGTCTGGTAGCTGGAGAGGTGCCAGTCCACTTCCTGAGCACTGCCAAGGTGCCCTTGAGCAAGGCATTGAACCCCAAAACTGCTCTGGAGCGCCCGCTGTGGGCTGCTCCGTCAATCTGACATCTCTCCATTAATGTATGTCCATAGGATCCTGTTTGTGCGTATGTGTATTTCAGCCTATGTTTGTGTAGCATGTTCATTAGACAGAGTGTAAAACTGAATTTCCCCTCATGGGATTAATAAAGGATAAATTATATTTATAAAAATAAAATAAAATAAAGGATACATTATAAATCATAATTATAGCCACTGTCCTCTCCAATAAAGGCACAAAATGACCAAAAATACATCTTAATTTTTTTTTTCTTTTAAATTGGCATTTGGGACTTTTTGAGCTCCTCAAGTGGACACTCAAAGAAATGCAGTATTTATACTTCAGAATTGGTTTAATTTTTCGGTACAACTGCAGTCAACTGACAGAGTCACGTTTCCAGCCTATGATGAATAAGAGTTGAAGGCTGTTGTTGATTCAGCCACAAAGGAGCAGTTCTTTTAAGACAAACAATAGAACAAAATGTCTGCAGTTCAACGCAGCAAACAGCGATAGGACTGGAGGAGAATTTATTTTGCTGTTCTGCTGACTGAAAACATTTTTCACTGCTTGACAAAGATGACATTGTTGAATCGTCGTCTGTGAAATGAATACTGGAGACAAAAGACGCTTTGTGAAGAACCTTTTGTTCTCTCCGCTATGCATGCTAACACAACAGCTATAATGTTTCTGGAGCCACATGTAGGTAAAAGTACAGTGCAAGTATTTTCCATTAAAGTGCTCATGTCAGTTTTATGCCTCGTAGAGATTGATAAAGTGAGATAGTGTTGACTGGACTGTTGTCATGGTAACAGGTAGTTCATAAACCTTGACAAAAGCCTACATGCTTGAATCTTACCTGTCAAATAACAAGACCAGCCAATAGCTGAAGAATGAAGTGTAGGCTGTGAGAGTGTGTGTTGAGATCAGCCTGCTTTGTGTTGATTCACTGATTTTCATAAAACAAAAGGAAACAAACATCTGTCTGTATGCAAAGACACAAAGATGACTTTGAATCATCCTCCTGTTGCATTTCCATACATTTCATCCGCCATGTTTAATTTCTTCACTCTTTAGCAATCACTGTCTAAATCTTTCACTGTAAAGTTCTTATTGTCAAACTGTCTCACTGTCTGTCACATGTGTGGAGGTTGGGTCCTAATGTTGAGAAGAAATAACATTATCGAGACCAATAAACTTCTTAAGCAGCAGTTTACTTTTCTCCACAATCATTTGCTCTAAAATAGTTACTTAAAAAAAAAAAATAATAATAATTTTAGATGCATGCTGGCGGCCACATATGTGACTTTGGCACAGTGTTTGGCGACTCTCAGTCCCTCTTAGACTGTGAGCGGTCACTATCTCTAAAGTAAAAAAAAGGCACACATTCTTGAGGTGTTGATTGAATTGACAAGTTCAATTGACTGAGCCCAAAAATATACAAGGATGTTCAACGAACACACTCATCGAGTGATTCTTCATTTTATGTAGAATCAGTAACTAGACGTTAACCTTGGGTTGATTAGAAAGTCTATCTACTTAAATTGATGAGTACATGTCTGGGGTACTTTACCTTAGTATTTCCATATTTAGTTATTTTACTCCCTTTCAGAGAAGAGTAATGTATCATACTGTAGCTGCTGGCAGCTGATTAATATCCTCACTGAAGTATAGTATTTCAAATATAGGAGAGTTTTTTGTAATACGTTATGTTTTACTAGAATTTGCACCTTTCCTTCAGTATACTCTCAGAGTGCTTCCTGGTGCTTTGTGATGGGTGGCGGAGGTCCTGGGAAAGGTCCTGGCTGGTCTTGCTTCAGGCAAGGGACTTAACAGAGTTGGCAAGCGAACAAGCAGAGAATCCACAAATCAACCAGAGAGAAGAAGCTTTTATTGCGATGGAGATTTAATTAAAGGAATAGTTCACAAAAATGAGAGAGCCTTCGTGTAAAATGGGGCACCTCCTCTTGCTGCTGTTTAAAACTGTTCTCTGATCAGTAATTAGGAGTCACAGTGGGATTCTGTAACATCCACGATGGCTAATTTCCAAACTCTCACCTCCTCTCGTTTCCTCCCTTTCATCCTCTGTTAGTTCTCTTCCCCCCCTCTCTTTTAAACTGTCTATCACAGTATGTCCTACAATCTCTGATTTGATCTGGATCTGCTATGGGATGTTTCGGTTAAACCCGGATCTCTGTGATGTATAAAGGAGAGGTCTGACCCCTCCCTCAACCCCCTCCGTCCCCTCTCTGCTTCTCTTCCCGGGCTGGACTTCCTGAAACAAGGCGTCCTCCTTAATGAAGACAATCAGCTATTCTTTCCTCCTGAAAGACGCTCTGAGGACTCGATTGCACTGCCAAGGACAGAGACAAAGACACCAGGCGGTGTGTGTGGGGGGGTTGTGGGTAGAGAGAGAGGAGGAGGAGAAGCAGAATGTCAAGGCGAGAGAGTTTTTGTGTCTCGTGTTTTCCGCCCCATGACAGCTGATTTATATTCAAATAGAGCTTTTGAATGGTCAGTTCACACACACGCGCGCGCACACACGCGCACACACACTCTCACACACACACACACACACACACACACACACACACACACACACACACACACACATTACAAAGGCAGAATTTAGCTGAGAGAGTGATGTCATCCATTTAAGTGGTAGAGCTAAGAGAAGGAGAGGAGGGATCCAACAAGGATGACAAAGTAGATAAGGGGTGAAAGGAAAAAAACAAATCAAATTCACTTCCATAGTGGGTTCAAAATGATTACATTTACTGATGGTACTGTAATTCACACAAACAACATGACATAAATACGAGTCAGTTCATGTAATGTCATTACATGTCTGCAGCACATTACATACAAATTAAACAAAAACAAGTCCTGACTGTGAGCAGCTGAGGCTCACCATGACAAAAACAGACATGAGTAGCATTTGAGTTTTTTGTAGTCTTGTCTTTGCAGTTGGTTGTCTCTTTGTGGTCATATTAAGTTTCTTGGGGTCACTGTTTGATACCCTTTGAGACTCTTAATGGTTCTATGTGTTTGTAACTGTATTTTAGTGGCTGTTTTGTGTGGGAGTATGTTTTTGTGCTGGTCTCTTAAGGTTTTTTTTTAATGGTCTTGGGATTGTATTCATAAATCCTCCTAAGTACTAAGAGTTGCTCCTAGTGTCAAAATTCTAACACAATTCTTAGAATCAGGACATTTTGCAAGAATTTACCCTCAAAGTTAGGACTAGATCCTTGTAAAGATGAAAGTTATTCACAAAGCATCTTAGCCCTTATAGAGCTCCTGAGGTGTCAAACTGTTAGGAGCAGGACTTTCAACAGGATGAAGAGTTTCTCAAGCTGAGGAGGAAACAGGGAAGTGTTCTTCAAACACTACAAGAAGAATCATCTTTTTCACTCATAGTTGGGCGGAACAGACCAAATGATTTCTGCAGACATTTCAATCTATCCAAGACTTTTTCAGTGCAAGATGAAACAGGTATGCTGTGTTAACCTCCACTGGTGCATCCGATCTCTAATTAAGTCTCTTTACGTGCTGATGTTCTTAGATCACTCCTAAGCTAAAAATCCTTGCTAGGGTGTTTTAAGCTAAGTTTCTCAGATTCTCAGAATGTTTGTGAAATCTTTGTGTATGTTTGGGTTTTTTTGCAGTAGTGTCTGAAGTTTTGTCTTCATGGCTGTCGCTCTGGTCCTGTGTTAATGGTGCTTTGTTTTTGTGACCAGCCATTTGTACATTTGCGTCATTTTGCTTCCTTTAGTAGTTGTTTAGCGGAAACTTTTGTGGGAATGTCTTTGTCTTTGTCTCTATCCGTATTCAGACTGCCGTTTCAAGCCACAATATTTATGTCCCTTTTACGATGTTTTGCTTTTAAACTGAGTGTTGATGAGGCGCCATGGAGGGACAAAGTGATCCCTCTGTACCGTCTTCAGAGTTAGTAACAGAGGTGTTGCAGAGGCCAGACAGGATCAGCTGAGCCAGCTGGGGAGCGCAGCGCTGTGTGTGCATGTCTGACCAAGTGTGTATATGTGGATGTCTCACTTCTTCTCTGCTCATGTAAATGTGCTTGTTTTAAGTCTTTTTGTTGTATTGCTGAAGTTGTCCCTCCATGGTAGCTTGAAGCTCTTGAAGTTATGGTTCTTGTAGTACCAGTCTCTTTGTTGTTTCACATGTCTTTGTGTTTATGAGGTAGTTTTGTGTCTCTTCACAGACACTTTGTGTTAATGTAGATCACCAGGTAGTTATGGCAACACAAAGCTTTGTAACAGACGCTTATGATAACAGAGACACTGAATCCCCTAACCTGCAGCTGAGCAAAGGTTTGAAATTAAACAGCCAGTCAGAAAGTTTCTCATGGTCCAGCAGAGGAAGGCCTTTCGAGTTCTTTTGTTTGTTTTTGTCTGCAGGTGGGCAGAGCCAGCTAGCTGTCGGTTAGAGAAACTGTGGATCTCGATTGGCTCTGCGGGAGCGGAAACGGATCTCAGAAAGTTTGGAGTTAATGCCAGAGCCGATGACTCCTCTTTTTGCAAGAGGGAAACGAGCCAAGATGGCATCTGAAAAAAAAAAAAAAGAGGAAGACTGTGACAGAAAGTAAGGACGGATATAAAGATGGTTGCTGCAAAATAAAATGAACTCACTGAAGATGGCGTTGATCTTGTGTGGATCCAGCGCACTGCGTTGTGGGTGAAAAGCTGGCCGGCGACTCCGTCCACCTCGTAGGTTACTGTTCATCAGAGTGTTCATATCAAACACACCCATTAAGAGTGTTCGCGCCATCGCTGTTGGAGACTGGGCCTGGTTTGCTGCCTGCCAAGAGCGGACATCACAGAGAACCCCAGAGCCGGGATACACCTCCACCCGGCTCACCTAGATAAAGCAGGTAACTGTATTCAATAAAAAGACCTTCAACACACAGTGAACTAACTGTTGACAGGTGTTTAATAGAGCTGTAAAAAAGATGATAACAATGTGTAAACAATGTAATCAAGTGGCAACTACGAGTTGTTAACAACCTGTTAAAGAGGTTACAATCATTTCAAAGAGATGTCGTGTTAATTGGTTCAGACATGTCCTCACCTGTCCATTAATATGTCCACTAGTGCACTGGCTCTCAGAGCAGCTCCTCCTTAGCTCGTCCATGTCAGTTTGACTGCACAGCGGTGCTTCCTCAGCCATGTGGCTCCCCAGGGCCAGGTCAGCTCCTCCTGGCCCCTCCTCGTGGTCAGAGCCCAGCTGGCCCCAGGACTCAGACATGTCCACGCTCAGCTCCTCTTGGAGCTGTTGGACGTAGACCTGTGGGCTGAAGTCTCCATCCTGATTGGTAAGTGGGGGTTGGTGATGCGAGTATGGAGCATAACTGTCACTCCTGCCTGTTGCCGTGGAATTGGAGAGCTGACCATTGGTCTGGCCCAACGTCTGCCACATAGTCGACAGGAGCCCAGGGATTTCTTGGAAATATAAAATGTACTTTAATGTCATAAAATCATGTGAAAGCTGACCTACAAAAACAGTTCTGGAGAAAGGTTTTAACTAGATCAATCGTGAACCACATCAGATGTGACAACAAGTAAACAAACACTGAAGTGAACTCATCCTATGATTTTCTGTTTGGTCTGGTATAAGTCATCTTTGAACAGGTGATTGGACTCACCGTGGACTAGCATACTCTTCAGTCTCTGGTTCTCTGCAGACAGCTCGGCCTTCTCTCTTTCTAGCTCTCGAACCCTAGACCGCAGGAAGTGTAGCTCAGCAGTATGTGGAGGGGTGAAGACAGGTAAATCTGACACACATGACTCCACCTTTACCACCTATAGGAGAGAGGTTGTAATGAAGAGAATGAGAGTAAACTCAGTTGGGGCACTAGTTAGATTTACTAGATTCACTCAGGTGTGTCGGCCAGAACACCACTTGAGGCCAAATCTTCCAGAATATGAATAAAGAGAGTGCAGATTGGTTGAGTGGCTGTTTACTTCTTCCTCACAGTATCACAAATACACACATCTCAGTGGCTATGCAATACAACTGAGTATTGAGTCTTGATGTTATTTCTATAAGACACAGAATGGCAGAATATATACTTATCATCACTCAGTTTCATGTATAAACTACTAGTAGGCTTATACAGTAATGTAATAGGTAAACAATGTGTAAATGTATTTTAGATAAATAAAGATAAGCTACATGTCTCTTTAGTCTGGATAATTACACACAGAAAGGCTATCAAAGGCTTACCAATCATACAATCATTATCCCATCAAATATTAAGATGCTTTTATTGTGAAGCCCGGAAGTTAAACTATCCTCCTCTTGCAAAGAGCGACACAGTTAGCAAACCTTGTAACTTTACAGGCAACTTAAGTAACCCTAATAAACATGGATAAGTATTAGCACTAGGTAGGTATAAAGGAGTCGTAAAGCATGTCGGTGCAGTGCCGTCGGCTAATTTACATATCTAGGTTTACACGACGAGCAGCTAATATACAAACTCCCGCTCAGTTATCATCTCTACAACAACATAAATAACACATAGATAGTACTTCAGCTAGGTACTGACTCTTTTCATTCACACACAACCAACATATGAAGTGATTCCTCTGCACACTGATGGCTCATCTGTCGTCATTACTACATGACGTAATTCACTATATCACCAGCAGGTGACGCCCCTCCCCTATTGAGCATAAGGGCATCAAATTGAACAGAGCGGGAATCAAACAGTATTTTAACATAAAGCTATAACCTTAACATGTATCTTCTACAGATGTTCACGTTGACCCCTGTCATGCTCGTATATAAACTAGGGAGGGGTAATATGGCAAAAAAGAGTGTGTGTCCTATGATGTTAAGGTGATGATGATGATGCTCTGTAAGCATAGCTGTGTGTGTGTGTTGTTTTGTTGGAAGAAATCCGTTTTTTGAAGAGAGAATATGGGTCGTGGTTTTGAGTGATTTTGACAAGTGGTTAACTCTTTTGCAATGTGTATTATTTAACCAGGGGAAAAATAGCTGAGATTTAAAATCTCCAGATTGTCCTGGACAAGACATGCAGTGGAACTCTTCACATAGTTTCTATCAACAAACGTGCAGCATGTTTACGAACAAAATATAAGATACATCATTATAACACAGAAAAAGTCACAAAATAACATTTAAAGAGCAAATATTTTCAAGTTCGACAATCATATAAGTGGCAGAACATCTCCAGCCAGATGTGTCCTCTAGTTATTTAACGTCTTCTTAAAAGCATCCAATGACAGCGGCTCGTTAGGTTTCAGATCGTTTTGTTATTCGCTCCAGGTAACAAACTTAAACATCTTTTTCCCAAGTTAAGTTCTGACTTTTGGAACAGACACACAGTAAAGAAAAAGGTCAGTTTTCTGGCGAATCAGTACGAAAGATGGAAAACACTGCAGCCTCATTCAAATTCCCATGTAGGCAGGCTACACGTAGGCTATATGAATAAATCATAAAAAACAAGGTTTGAAATATCAAATCTATTTCAAGTAGCCTATTGCATATACGGATTTATAAAAAGAAATGAGTGTAATGCACTGTGGATGAAAACACGTTTAATGTGCACATTAACGTGAACGTATGCACACACCCCTTTCAAATAAAAAAGAAAGAAAAGATGAGAAACAATGTGAGGAAATCGTACAGCCACTGTCCTATGAATGCACACATTCATCCTGAAAGATCTACAGAAAACATATAGGCCTACACATCTATACATCATAAGGCACAGTGTATGGTTGTATATGAAACACAGTGACACAGAGGAGGTGAACGTTTCTGTTAAGTGTCTCACCGTCGGCCCGGTGCCGCCGCTGTGTGTCCGCTGCTGGACGTGTCTTTCCGGACTCTCCGTCATCAGAAGACACGAACCGGAGACGTTAACGGCAATATAATGACTGATAATTCTCTTAACGCACCGCACTGTTGCCGCCAGCTGCCGCTCTCGATAGAACATAAAGAAGAAGAAAAAAAAACAAGTTTATTAAAATTCATAAATGCATCAACTTCCGGTGCAGCGATGTCCGTCATCTTCGCGTGACCGCGCTGTAGTTTTACAGAAGAACGTTTTAATGCTTGTGTGCGTGCAGAAGGACTACAGCTCCCATAGTGCATGGCGGCCAGCACTTTGTAAACACTAATGGAGTTTGAAGGGCGAAGAGACGGATGATTGGTAAGTGTTCTTGTTTTACTGAACTCTTCTAAATGATTTCAGAATTTACTGCACGGTACTGGTCTCTACAGAAGTCCACCAGACTGTAGCGGACTGGTTGAACTGGGTTCCACTGACGATGTTGTGTGACACCGGGTTGTCATTTAGCAGTTCCTCGTAGCCAAAATCATATCATATATCTGAATCATAAACAGATTGATAATTTGCTCAGCATTTGCGACGATGACAGATAAAAGACTGTCATGTGTGCCAGCATGAGAGCTCACCTGTTACCATACTGTCTCCTTCAGTGTTTGTGCGCTATAACCTCGGGCCAGGTGTGCCTGTGGAGCTGCAGGAGGAGGCAAGTGTTGCCCAACTGAAGGAGATGGTGGGGAGTCAGCAAGGAGTGCAGCCAGAGCACCTCAGGGTGCTGTTCGCTGGCAGGTCACTGAGAAGCAATGCCAAGCTGCAGGTCAGAGGGCGAACGATCTTAAAGAGCAAACAAATGTGGAGAGTCCTCGTCTCTTCTTTACAATTTTTTTTTTTGTCTTCTTCTCCTCTCCTTCTCTATTATCCGTTTCTTTCTACTCTTCTCTCCTCCTCCTCTCATCTCTGTCCCGTGTCAGGATTGTGACCTCCCAGAGCAGAGTACCATCCATGTTGTCCTCCCTTCATCAGGTTCTTCCTCCTCCCAGCTCGGCCTGTTGCAGGAGAGACTGGCTCGAGGCAAAGACGAGGAGCAGAACAGTCTGACCAGGTTGGACCTCAGCTCCTCACGCCTACCTTCCACCTCCTCGGGCCTGGCAGTGGTCTTAGATGGGAGTGATGGAGGAGAAGGTGTCAGAGAGGTGGATGAGGCGGGAGAGGTGGAGCAGGCTCCATGTTTGAAAGGTGAGTGAAGATAAAACCATGGTGTTCTCCTGCACTCTCCCTCAGTACTAGTGCCTTAACTGTGTGTCTTTGTGTTTACAGGTTCGCGTAACTGCAGTTTGTTTTTTGTGTACTGTAAGAGCTGCAGGTCCATCCAACCTGGAAAACTGAGAGTACGCTGCGGCAGCTGCAAACAGACCACACTGACACTGAGTAGAGTGAGTCCTTATGCTGCACAGTACATATAATACACTGTGTACTTTAAAGTTCTTATAATATGAAGGACTATTACTACACTATATTTACATTTCTTTATCTAGACTATGCAACATTTATATATGTAATATGTACATGTTATTTTTACTCCAGTCCACACATTTATATGGTACTTATAATGTGTAAGATAGGTTTGTCCATTGGGGCCAATCTGTGGTTTCTTCTAGCAGTCCAATAACATGCTAGTTAGACTACTACTATGACTATAAAATTGTCCATAGGTACGATTGTAGTCGTCTGTTGGTGAGTGTCAGGCATGCGATTGACTGGGGACCTGTTCAGGGTGTACCCCACCTGATGCAGATTTCAGCTGGGGTCAGTTTCAGCCCTACTTGAATGATAAGAAGAATTGATAATTGATTATGAAGATCAAGCTTTTTCATTTCATTGCTTTTGGTGTGTGTCCTTTTCCAATGACCGCCTTCTTTGAACGAGTGACATCATCCTATGTGTGTTTGTACTTTCTGTTTTACATGCACTACTGAGGCTACTAAATGTAGTGTAAACAATCTGCTGATTTGTGTTTCACTTCCAGCAGCACTACCTCCACTTCAGAGCAGTCCCATGCACAGTTGTTATTAGATTTAAATTTGGGAGTTCCTGACATGTCTCTACTATGCACACAGTCGTGCAGGCTCTTGCTCATCTATGGGCATCAGAGGGGCGTTTATCTGTGCTAATTATGAAAACATGCACAAGCTTGCAGCTTAAGAGGACATTGCACTCATCAATTTCAGAACACAGTTACAAACAATTCATTAGTTTAAGAAGAGCTTCATTGGTTCGTCCAAAACTTTTCTTCAGATCTTCTTAGGAATAAATTTAAGAAAAAACATTGGAAGATATTGGTAAATTAGTCCCATGAACCCTGTGCGTTTCATATGTGTTTAATGGTAATTAAGGAGACATCATTAGTATTTTCTTCTGTTTTTCAGGGTCCATCCTGTTGGGATGATGTCCTTATACGAGGTCGTATTCATGGTATCTGTCAAACAGAAGATTGTCAAGGCAACGTTGCGGTAAGGTGGGCGTGGCAATCACAGTTCCATGGGTGCGTTCGAATTGTCCCTCCTATCTCCTTTCACTATGCACTTTACCTTAACCCCGGAAGCATTTAAGTGGCTGCCATGGTAAGAGCCGTTCGAATTCTCTAAAAGTTAAGGAAAGGTGGGTCAATGCTTCCTTTATAACCTCCTTTAGCATAGGATACACTGGACCGTCCTTTACCAAAGGAGATGAGATATGACGCCCCACAATTCCTTGCGGCCGCAACATTTAGAGCGAGTCGCGCATCTGATCGTAAAGTGACACAGATCATGTAAGAGATAAAAAGATAGGAGACATTTTTGATGTTTTATTCAACGTATTTCATTCACTTAAGAATGCTTTGTGCAGTTGGATATTTGTATAAGGGTCAGTGACAAATAAGGGTTGTTCAGATGACCAATTCAAAAATCTTTTAAAAACACAATTTGAAAGCATGCATCAGGTTCATTAAAATGTGAGATTTGTATTCATGTTGGTTTTGTGTTTTTTAAAATGACATTTAAACCTTTTTTTTCAAAAGGTAAGGCTAAATGGACCTAAAAATGTCAAGTGGTGTAACCACTGAAAAATTAAGAATATTGATTCTTTTATACATCTAGAGTATATGTAAGTGTACTCATGATTTTAATTACTTCATTTTAAAATAGCACTAGAAAATAGATTTTATTAGGATTATCCCTAAATTTATAAATTATGCCCTTTTTCAATACTGAGCGGAGCACATAGCTGAAAACACCTCTGTTTTCTAATTAATTTTTGGCAAATTATGTAAAAATCGTTTAAAAAAACATGTTATTTCACTGCAATAGAGGACTGCTTTTATTCCACTTTAATTGTCCTGTGTTTTATTATATTTTTTACAAGAAATACTGGTTACACCAATTGACGCAAACCAGTTACACCAACTGACCATGCTGCTTCTACAGTCAAAGGCCATTGTTTCTTGAAGAAATTGTTGTTAGCTTCCTCCATTTCATGTTTGCTCCACCTACCAAAGTGCACAGAATACCAGTACGCTGATGACAGGAATGTAGCACATTTGTCTTAAACACAGAATAGTATAAAACTGAAGTGAACAGATCGGCCTTTTGGATGGGTCTCATAGATGGGCAAATTCTTACTGATACCTGATCTAGCTGTCTTAGTCAGGATCAGTGCACCCTTAATTAATTCATATCTTAAGTAAATTACAACATCTGACCAAAATCTTCAAGGAGAATTCATTTCTTCAGTATTTGGAATAAACTCAAGGTACTTGTGCCCTAATCAAAGGATAACATACCCACAGGCAACACGTTACATCTCTCCTTCTTTACATCATGGCCATCACAGCCCAAACAGCATTGCCACCTTCTATAGTACCAGACTTTGGCAAGCAAGCTCCAGGTAGTGACATGCTGATACTACCTACCCTACCACATGGCCCCTAATAGCCGACACATCTAAAATGCAACTACTGGTGCCAATATTACAGCATACATACATATATTAGATTATACACGTTTAAAGGTGCACTATGTAGATTTGGTGGTGAAATTTGAAAGTTGGAGAAGTGAAACAATTCTTTGATATATTTTCTGAACTGAATATACAAACTTTATTCAAAGTAAAAAATGGGTCCCTGGAACACTGTTTGGAGATATAAAGCTACCAGGAGAGTTACGCTTTCACTGTTGCGGGCATCTCACCATAACTTCTCCAGTAGCATTTTATCTTCAAACAGTGTCACAGGGACCAAATTTTCATCTGAGGACAGTTTGTGTTTCGAGTTATGATGGACATATACCACATAATCTGTAAATTTCTCCAACTTTCACACTTCTCTACCAAAACTACATAGTGCACCTCTATAAATGTAAGTAAATGGAACACAAATATGCAATTTGAAGCTAAACATTTACACAAATATGCAATTTGAAGCTAAACATTGTCCTAGACCCTTGATAATAAGGCTGTGGATGAATCACCACTTTAATCAACATAAAAAAAATAGTGTCCTCTAACAGAAAGGCTTGTCATAAATGTCAAATAGTGTAACCGGTTACACCATTTGACATTTCCACTTCAAATCAAATTTGACAGGCAGTATCATTGAGACCTATGTAAGCACATTTCCTGGTGTGAACTTTTCAAATCTAATTTTCAAAGTGAATCCAAATCTTTATAATTATCATAAATTGTTAATGTTTTTCTGAGGTCATACCATTTGACATACCTGACCACGCCCTTAAAATGTCAAATTATCTCATGTTTTAAAGAGAGTTGCTAAACTTGGCCTGCAGCAGTTAGGACCATCAGGGGTTCTTCTTTGTGATATCATTTCTTGTCACATGATATGATGAATATATTAACAAAATGGCTCCTTCAATGGTGGTTACACCATGTTGACAATTTGGTACTTGACTGGGTGACATGGTTTCCCTAAAATATTTATAATATTAAGAACAATGATGTTCCTTTACTTTTATTTAATATTGAACAGTTCTATTGTAAGAGTATGCCAGGTTAGTTCATAGGGTGTTATATGAAAATTTAACCTTTTTAAAGGAAGTTTAATTCTTTGGTACGAAGTTTCAACGGTTACACCACTTGGACATTTTTGCCTAAATACCCCAATTATTCTCTAAAAATGTATAATAAATATAAATTTTAGACTAGGTCCTCAAAACAAAGGATGAAAGCATGTCATTTGTGCATTTATTTTTACATTTTAAGCCTTTAAAAGTTAACTAAACCTTATGGACACAAAAAAATGAGCGTCACGTCATTGACCCATAAAACATTATACATCTTAAATAAATGTAACAATTAATATCATACAATCATATTTATTTTGATGTTGATTTATGAGTAGACAGGAAACTGATGGTTTCACTTTTCTTACTTGTAGCCTGGTAGTCTATATTGCTTTTATTTCAATCCCAACCTTGTGATAATTAGGATTATTTCACCGGTAAGAAGGCACAGGGGAAAGTTTTTTAGATGCGCTTTTTGTAGTCCATTATCTGAACATTGTAGTTTCAACACGGTGAACCCACGTCATTAACCTCCACCGGCCCGTCACATTTAATTACATGGCCTAGTGGAAAATACGGTCGGATTGTCAGAGCAACGAGATCGCCTTTCCCTAAGTCCTTAAAGAATTCTCCTAACATCTTTCCTTAACCTCATGACGTTTTCCCCGGGGTTAAGGTAAAGTGGATAGTGAAAGGAGAGAGGAGGGACAATTCCAACGTACCCCATGTGTTGGTTTGTGTTCTGACCTGTAACTGAGCATTTGTGTGTGTGTGTGTGTGTGGGGCAGGAGTTCTACATGAAATGCGCATCCCATCCAACCTCAGATGAAGACATCTCTGTGGCCCTGGACCTCATTATGACCAACAGCAGAGACGTCCCCTGTATTGCCTGCACTGAAATCATGTAACATAAACTCCCTCTTTTGAATCATTTCAGTTTAATACAAACTTGTCAATGCCTGCTGTCAAGAAAAGGACATTTCACTGTAGATTAATCTCGTTCACGTTCTTTCTTTCTCAATCTCTCTCTCTCTCTCTCTCTCTCTCTCTCTCTCTCCCCTCTCACTCTGCCCCTCTCTCTCTCTTTCTCTCTGTCTCTCTCTTCCCTCTCACTTTGCCCCTCTCTCTCTCTCTCTCTCTCTCTCCCCTCTCACTCTCCCCTCTCTCTCTCTCCCCTCTCACTCTGCCCCTGTCTCTCTTTCTCTCTCTCTCTTCCCTCTCACTCTGCCCCTGCCCCTCTCTCTCTCTCTCTCTCCTCTCTCTCTCTCTTCCCTCTCACTCTGCCTCTCTCTCTCTCTCTTCCCTCTCACTCTGCCCCTCTCTCTCACTCTGCCTCTCTCTCTCTCTCTCTCTCTCTCTCTCTGCCTCTTCTCTCTCTCTCTCTCTCTCTCTCTCTCTCTCTCTCTCCCCTCTCTCTCTCTCCCCTCTCTCTCTCTCTCTCTCTCTCTCTCTCTCTCTCTTCCCTCTCTCTCTGTCTCTGTCTCTGTCTCTGTCTCTCACTCTGCCCCTGTCTCTCTCTCTCTCAGGGACATGGTTCTAGTCTTCCAGTGTTTGGAACGTCATGTGATCTGTCTTGACTGCTTCCATCGTTACTGTCAGACACGACTAAACGAGCGGCAGTTTGTGTGTCATCCTGTGATTGGCTACTCTCTACCATGTGCTGGTGAGTGCGTGTTGTGAATGTGAGAACCATGCATGGCTGGGAATCTTTGCGTGTCTGACGATTCGATTTCGATTCTTCGGTTCTATTTTTGATTCAAAACGATTTTGGATTCATGTATCCATGGATTCAAAGTCTATTTTTGAATTTGTGAATACTTCAGGATCTACTCCAGTCATCTGTGAGTCTGCCTGAATTTCTTGCTGCTCCATTTGGCATTCTATAATAATTTATACTTTATTGATCCTGCCAGGGGAAATTCAGTTTTACACTCTGTTTAATGAACATGCAACACAGACATGCACAAACAGGATCCTGTGAACATGCATTAATGGAGAGGTCTCAGAGTGAGGGGGCTGCACACAGTGGGCGCTCCTGAGCTGGTGGGGGGGGTTAGGTGCCTTGCTCAAGGGCACCTCTGCAGTGCTCAGGAAGTGGACTGGCACCTCTCCAGCTACCAGACCAATTTCCGGACTTGGTCCGTGCCCTCAGAGTCTCAACTCAAGTCCCTACAGACTGAGCTACTGCCGCTAAAGAGCTAGCATTAGCACTTAGCAGGGAGTGACTGATTAGCCAAAAAAAAAATATTTTTGGAAGTTATGAATCGATTTAATATCTCAGAAGATAAGAATCTCGATTTTTGAATAAAACTATTTTTTTCCATGCGATTCCAGATCCATGCGATGTCACTGATTTATATGAATATTAGTCTGAGTGTTGCTGCATAAGATTACTTCACTTATCCATAAGATCAATCTCTCCACGGCTCCTTAACACCATTCCATTGTTTTATAAAAATATTGACCAGTCAATAATATTACTCCAATCCTCAGTAAGATTACTTTTATACTAGGGATGCTAGATTATGGAAAAAATCTAATCAGGATTATTTTGATTGATATTGAGATGATGATTATTAAACATGATTAATGGTGGAATTTACCAGATGAGTTCCATCTGCTTTTGCTTTTCTTGTATACACCAAACTTAAAGGGCCCATATTCTGCTTTTTCTGGTTTTATATGCTCTTTATTGTGTTTTCCATGTGTCCTGTGCATGTTTAGTCACAATCTATTTGCAAAAATTCAAAGTCCACGGAAACGCGGCTTCTCCTACGTCCTCCTGTTAGCTGTAGCATTAGCTGCATGTAACGCTCTGTTCTAGCCCCCCTCGATAAAAATTTGTCAGTGTGAGATCACTGATCTAAGCCCATTGGCTCGTTGTGGCAAGCCCAGCAGCTCATGTTGAAATTTCCGAGACGCGTGCTGAGCAACTGACCAATAACGACAGAGCGGATCGGCAGACCAATCAGAGCAGACTTGGCCCACGTGGGGTCTAACAGTGTGGGCACAGCAGAGTGCAGCTGACAGACTCAGAGTGTAGAGGGAGCAAGGAGGAGCAGTACATGAAAACAGACACTTTTTTCGAACTTTATCTATTGTGAACGTACAAAAGTAGGTACATAGATTAAATATATGAACCCCAAAAAGGGCAGAATATGGGCTCTTTAAACTGAAGCCTCTGGATATAGATTTTACATTTTTTATGTAGAATCCGTAAATAGAGCTTATTACTCCCTAAGAGCTCTCCAGCACTCCCAGTATCACCATTTTAACAATAAGCATTATAATCAACGCCACAGCTTTTTTTTATTCATTGATTAATTTCTGAGTAGAGAGTGTGTTAATCAGATGGTTGATACAGTACATAACTGTGTGTTTATATGTTGTTATGTTCATATGTTTATATGTGTTTCTTAAACTGATCTGTTTCCAGCTGGATGCATCGACTCTCTCGTTAAAGAGTTGCATCATTTCCGGATTTTGGGAGATGATCAGGCAAGTGTTTTACTCCTCATCCAATCAACAACATATGTACAGTACATTTGCATATAAATGTGTAAGTGTACATACTGAAAAGCTATACACAAATGTTGCAAAAAGATATTAATCACAGCCTTTGGTTTGTGTTGAATAGCTTGTTCAGAAAAGTTAGTGTGCACCAACTTTAGGAAAGGAAATCAAAAAAACTTAACAGAGACGTCAAATAAGTTAATAATTAGTTAGCATAACAAACATTTTTCTTCCTTATCACAGTCAACAAGTAGTAGGATAGCTTCTTTCTAACTAAGGAAGAAGTCTAAGAACATTGTCTGTTCAGACGTACCACACAAACCATTACGGTTTTAAGGTGGGAATGGCTTGGTTTAATGTATTGAATCTCCAGTGATAGATCTGTTCAGACTCATTTTGATTATTAAATTATTGAAACATAGAAGGTCCAGTGAGAACATTCAAAGTAATTCTTAATCTTTGTTCCTCGTGGTGAATGGTGAGAGGTCAGATTTGAATATTCAGGAAGTTTGTGGTTCTTCCAATAACCGGTAAGTTCCCTCTACATGATGCTGTCATCTCTCTGTCAGAACCCTGCTGCTTCTCTGTATAGATGTTTTGAAGCATCCAACATGTCTACTCTCTTCTCTCCCTCTTAGTATGAGCGGTACCTGCAGTACGGGGCAGAAGAGTGCCTGCAGGAGATTGGAGGACTCATGTGCCCGTCACCTGGCTGTGGGGCGGGGCTTGTCCCACTTGAGGGCAGCAGAAGGGTGGAGTGTGACAGACAGCTGGGATGTGGCTTTGTCTTCTGCAAAGACTGCAGAGAGGTGTACCATGAGGGGGTTTGTCACGCAGAGCCCGTCCCACCCCCAGGTGAAGCCTCACAGGTGAGAGAACCCATCAATCAAGGACAAATCAGCCGTAGACCATTAACTGTAGATTCAGCACTAAAACAGACATCTCAATGTGAGTGCAGCTTACAATTCGGTCGTGGACCTTGGCTCCCAATTCCAACTCCAAATTCATATCTCAAGTTGTTAGTCATACTGGAAATGTTGAATAACACACAGAAAAGGATGTCGCTGCCCATAATATGCCAGCTTCAGTGAAAGCCGCAGTAGCTGTTGCTCCCAGAGACAAAATTGTCTTGATGTAGTCAGACAATAGCTGAAGGGTTTTGATATAAGATAAGATAATCCTGTTTATCCCATAATGGGGAAATTTACAGTGTTACAGCAGCAAAGAGCAAAGATTGTAAACAAAAAGTGAACACAGTACACAATTTAAATAAAAAAAGAAAAATTAAAAATGTACAAAAAAAATAGATAGATACCACAATATACATTTTTTTTTTAAATAGATCAGCTGAGCTGCAGTTTTTGTCAGAATATTCCGTGTAACACAGACATGCACACATATTGGGTCACTATAAATTTTTGCAATTTTCCCTGCCCCCCCTTCCTCCCCCTCTGTACCTGTCGTCAGGGTTTTGTTGTGGAGGAGGAGGCGTCCCTCAGAGGGAGGTGGGATAGAGCCTCCCTGCTCCTGGTGCAGGAGTCAACTAAACGCTGCCCTAAGTGTTCCGTTCCTGTGGAAAGAAATGGTGAGAGATGAGCTGATCCTAACTTGTTTGAACTGTTGTGAACTAATGAGAACAGATGGATGTACCAAGAAGCCAGTTCATCGTACCCTGGCTGTCTGTCAAAAGGGGGTGTGTGACGCATCATTTGACTCTTCTTTCGCACAAATTGTAGCAATCACATGCCGCCTACTTCACTCACTTCACCGCTGTTATAACGGACAGCAAGAAGAAATATTAAAATTCTCACAAACCCTGCTTCAATTGAGGAAATAGGGTAATGCTGTGGAAAATGACCCGACAACTGTGCCAATTTGAGCTTCTGAACATATTTTCAAGAGCACAATCAAGAATTGCACTTTGCTCTGACACTATAATATAGTGAGGGATACGTTGAAATCACTTGTGTTTATTACCAAGTAATCATGCATAAACATCTACCTTCTTTTCCTTCTTTATTCTTGCTGTATTAAATTAGATTGTTTATTGAAACTCCAAGGAAACCATGACGGTTACAGTTCAACACATTTTCAAAGGCCTTTATAACGTATCCTCTCTTCTGAGAACCTGTATGTCTCATAGAGTATCACCAGGTACAGAGTCAACAAGAGCACGGCACTGACTCAAATCTGAAACATGAACATTACCAGCTTCAGATCAAGTCACGAGTGCAACATGAATTAGCAAAGTAATCCAGTCAGTTACCAATACCAAGCACTCATTAGAGAAAACAAAGAGAATTATCCATCCTTTGTTCAATTTGAGACACATTTTTTTTCCTCTCTAGAGTTTATTGTTAAAGATAAAGATAAACTTTATTGATCCCCCATTGGGGATTTTTTTTGTTACAAACAGCTCAAAAAAACAGCAATATAATTAGCAAAAATAGCAAAAAGTTAAAAACTAAAAATATTTACATCAATTGAATAAAGGGAGAAAGATACAATAACAGAAACACACTAGGTATGTACACTTTCACTTGTGGAAAGACAGTTATTAAAAACACACACACAGTGTGTTACTGTGTCTTTTAGTTTTCTTTTGTCAGTTGTTCAAGCACTGAAAGCTATACATCAGTGCTGGGAATCAACTTAGCTTTGCTTTCCAGGCTGAGCAAAGTCTGCAGGAACCTCCTCCCTCTCTTTGTTATCTCTAAAGGACAAATCAGTAACCCAGACAAGATAATGAGAAAACATAAGCTATGGTGAAGAATTAGATATTTCAAACTGAACAGTTACAGGTCAGAATATGCCTGCATCACATCTGTGTTCTATCATGATCTCAAAACATGCAGTTATTTGATTGAAAATGTGTATTTTTCTGTGTGGGAGATGTTGTGAGTTATAGGTTTGTTATGTTTTGTCTCCCTCTTCAGGCGGCTGTATGCACATGCAGTGTCCTCTGTGCAAAGCAGAGTGGTGTTGGCTCTGTGGAGTCACCTGGAACAGAGAGTGTATGGGAGACCACTGGTTTGGATGACACCAGATGTTCCCAGTTGTTGTCCATAGACACTAAAGCACCTGTAAGAAGAAATGAAACCACTGACCCGGCAAATGCAGCTGATAATCAAAACTTTGGGGGTGGGGTTCTTAAAGATTCTAATGAGAGTGAGGTCCTTTCTGGTTCCGGCAGGTGAGTGTGGATCTGAAGTCTGTTGAGCTTATTTATTATTCTTTTACTAAATAATAAATTGGAATAATTGAGAAGAATCTTTGAAACAAACAGATCATTGAGGACTTGAGAAGTCGCTGATTAAAGTCTATTAAACAGAGAATAGTTTGTGTTTTCTGTGGCCGGGGATGGGGGATGCACATTTTAAACACTGACTGTGTATTTTGGATTGTTGTCATCAATTCAACACTCAACCAAAAACTGTGAATCAATTTACAAAAAAATAAACTGGATTATTCAAATCAAGGATTCCATCTTTCCTTTCTTTAGTGTGCAGGTCGATGATAACAAACTCACACTAACAGTTTTTATAGGGACATCAAGTGATCTGCAGGTTTGTCTGTTCACACAAGGCTCTCTATCCTCTGCTCTGACATTCACCTACCAGCCCCTGGTGCTCTCTTCCTCTCAAACACCTTATTTATCAGTGTGGGTTTTTTGACAACATAAGGTCAAAAGGACTCAGAGCATTGTATTTGTCAAGCTGAGAGAGTTTGTCTTTTTGTAGATTTTCTTTCTTTTTTTTTAAATAAATGTTGAGTTCGTATTTGTACAAAATATTATCTAGAGCTGATTATCTATATAGCTAGCTATAGTGTATTGTGGGATGTAGATAAAAAGTGTTCGCCAGGGTTGGATTTTCTGCTACTTTTTTCTCCTATAGCCACTTCACTTCATCTTAGAGGGAGATTGAATACTTTTCACCTCAAATCAGAGATTCAGATTGTTATAAATAATAATATCAGCTACTAGTTGAAGAAGTTTTGATAAATGATCCAGCAGCATATGGAGTAGAAAGGAGATTCACCTGCTGTCACATTAAACTAACAGAACCAGACAGATAAAATGACCCAAAAATACAGGCTGACACAAAGCAGGATACAATAAAAAGGAAGAAAATCCAAAAATATCTAAGAAACAAATCCGAGAGGAGCAGGCAAAAGTCAAACACTAGAAAACACTACAACCTGGCAGCATTATGGAGGATACACAGGGATTATATACACATTCAGGGCATAAGAAGACACAGCCGCACACAATCACAATCAGTAAGGCACCAGGGGGGAAAACAAGGAGCAGATCTGAAATGACAATAATGCTAAAAGAAATGGACAGAAACTAAACATAATCTTAAGTAACTTGACAGGTTATGTCATAAACACATTAACATGTAAATTTATATAATACAGTATTGTATTTATTCAACTGAAAAGTTAATACTTTTATGATTGGTACTAGATTATGTCTGGATGCTAATATTTTTGTTTCTTAAATTCCTCACTGGAGGTTTAAAAAAAAATCACTGCAACATTTTTATTTTAGGTGTCCCTCTGTTGTCAATATGAAGATATCTATTTTGTGGAACTCACAAGTTCAAAACAAACGAACCAGTTAACCAACATTAAGTGTTTTTTTTTCTTTTACATATTTAAAGTTCTCTGAATAATACGTGTAGGTCAGCTGTTTGTTGAAATTCAGCCCCTCACTGATGGAGGGAAAAAAACTTGTGTTTTGACACTTTTGTTTAGATTCTTCTAAATGATGGACATGAACCTGGACCTGAAGCCTCCACCCTCTGATAAGACAAACCATTAACCTTTGAACAGGCCAGCATGCTGATGAATGTCACTGTCAGTGGACTTTATGGTTTTGTTTTGATCACCTACAAAAACCATGAGATAAAGACTCAGACAGATCAGCTGGTCATGCTTTCTGAACCACCAGCACTCCAGCAGGATTCAGGAGCTTCAGCAGGTTTTCAGTAGTGCCTGCCTGAACTTCTAGGCCAAGCTAGTTTCAGGAGGAGAAGCTGGTCTATCAGTGTGGGAGTCCGGAGTTCTGACCTGAGGAGAGGACACTCTAAAAGTCAGGATGAAGAGGGGGAACCAGAGTGGACTAACAGGCCTGCAGAATCCTGGATTGGAGCTGGAGATGACTCTGAGCACCAACACAACCCAGGTGAGATCAAACAGCAGTCGGGTCCACATGCAGTGTGAGGGTTTGTTTCAGTCTGCTGGGAGTCCCAGCTTGGTGGAGCTTAACCCGTTAGCACTAGAACATATCTTTACATGACACACTTTGAGATTGAAAATACATAAAGACAGCAAAGTTAAACAATAAAAAATCACTAAAACAGTACACTCCATCCTCCTGGTAAAAATAGAAAAATAACAGTGCACTTTAAAGGCTTACTATGCGATTTTTTGATCCAGCATGAAACCAAAACAACTCGCGCTGCATTGTTGTGTTAGCATGCTAATGCTAGCGATCTTTATTATGCTGGTATCTTCACACTGCATGTAAATTTACCTGAAATGAGCGTGATCTAGAAACACAGTTAAGCAGTGAGTACAGTATGTTATTCTTCTTTTCTCTAGTCCCTCAATTAAACAACTTTTATACACGAGGGGAGGAGTCAGCCGGCCGTCCCGACGATGTAAACAAACTGAAGATATGACTCTGAAAACTCTGAAAACATCACAGACAGTGGGACTCGGGTGTTACACCCATTGTAGACAGTCATGATTCACAGAGTTATTTTCAGAGGATATACTTGATTTCTATTATATTTAAGTGTGAAAAATCACATAGAAAGCCTTTAACTGTTTTGCAAATCAAGCTGATGGGTAGTCGTGATAGCAGAATTTGAAGTGATACTATATTAAAATCAAATTATATTGATACTTGTTTATGCCATGGCAAAAAATTGTAATTCTTTGCCAAATATTGGATCATTTCTTATCTTTTATAATCCAAAAAATACATCTAAACTCCTGCACATGTATCTAAATTGCAAAAATAAGTTGGCAACATTTTGATACCGAAACATTTCTTACATACTTACTGTAGATACTTACAGTTTTTGATGAGAACATTCCTCTTCTATTCACCTGTTTTAATAAATAGATGTGGTTTTACTCTTAAGCTTTGGCACTTTTCATATCTATTGTTAAAATAACAAATATTGTATTCTTTTAAAACGTTGAAATCCAAAAAAGTATCGAAACACTTGAGAACCTTGTAAAAACTATTACAATCACAATGTTATTGTTGCACTTGTTTTTGCTTTCAGGTCACTGGGTGTACTGTCGTGGATTTTTCTGTTTGATGAATAAAAGATCTCAAGTCAAGCCGTTTGTATTTGTGTATTTTATTGCAGATAATAGATGATCTTTTGATCTTGTGTTAGTGTTATCTATGAGTTAGCACTCATTGTTATTTCACTGTAGCGCACCTACATGATGCTCTCGTCCATCTGACACACAAACATCTGTTGCAAAGCAAGTCAGTGTGACTGAGGTTATGTACGGTCACAAATAAACAGCAGAAGTAAGCACAGTATTTTTCCACTACAGTACTCAGGACTTTGATTTGCCCTCAGGTCTCAGGGAGTCCTCTGGTAGTCGGGTCTCTTCAAAGGTCCAAGTCCAGGATGTCAGAAGCAGTCAAATCTGCAGCTTGGTGGACTTCGTACACCTGCAGCCGCTGGAAGAAGAGAAGAAGAAAACTAGAAGGTGAGACTGAGTCCGAGCATATTTTCAAGATCTGAATTTTCTTAAAGTTTCAATGTTGTGATGAACATGCAGGTGTTCAGTTGGAGACACGGTACAGAGGTCTGGCTGAGGATGATGAAGGTGATAAGGAGCAGAGGGATGAAACTGACACGAGTAAAAACCAGCAACTGAATCGAAAACTTCTTAATCACTTCAGACAGCTGGCTGCTTCTAACTACGACAGTGACCAGGTAACACAGAGCATCCTTAACCGACCAGGTACAAATATTAGAAAGGGCGTGTACAGACATTTTAATCTGGGGTGGTCTTACTGGGGTACCGACCTATGCAGGGGGAGGGGTATGTGTGCAGGCATAAACATGAATAAATAGCATGTATTTTTCCTGTCTGTATCCACCCCCCATATCTACTACCACTTCTTACATTGAAGCGTTAGAGTTAGAAAACATAGTGGGGGTCAAGTTATGTATGGTTTCACTCAGCTCCTGCCCAAACTTGATTAAAGGTTTGGTTTCACATGAAAGGACGGTCGGGACAACTCATCCTTCTTTTCTCCATTTTTTGAAAGTCCCACATTATTTGTAGTTTTCATTGGCGCAATAACTGAAGATTATTAATCAGGTTGATAACCTTCGAAAAAGCACAAAAGAACGTATGTTATCATTACTAATCATCACTCAAATAAACATTTCTTTTCCACTACTCAAATTAATCAGACAGCATTGTCATCATTATTCTTACTGAAAATTAAAATGACTGAAAATTGTAAAATAACTTTCTGTCAGCACAACATCATTTCCTCAAGGTAACAGAAATCATACCAGCAGCATCTTTCTTCTGACTCCTTCACCTCTGTGTGTGTGACAGTGAAAGGTCCAAGCAGGTGTTCAGGATTCCCTGATTGTCTGATTGCTTGCTGTTTGCTTCTTCTCCATGTAGCCATTTTGTGAGTCACAGAGTTCTCCAGCTCCTTGTCACCAACAGCTGGACTGGAGTTGGTACTGCATTCTCAACTCACTCCGTTTTGACTGAACACTGGGAATACATATTCTTAGCTTTTTTCTATACTGAATTCTGTACAGATGTCCAACCTCATGGTTTAAAGAGCTAACGGAAGAAAATGAATTAAAAACTTAATTGAAATGCAAAGGAAGCTTACATAGTCCAAATAGTTTGGATTTTAAAAAACTCTGAAAAGGCAAATAGCCAATGATAGGCTATCATTTTGAGGCGGCAGCTGGGGTGGCTAGGCAGATTTCAAGGGGGGGCTATGCCACCCCTCTGGACACACCCATAGGACACTGCCTAGGCTAAAACTTAAAGGTGACACAGACCATTTTCTTAATTATAACCACTGCATACGTACAAAACAAGGTCTGAAAGAGATGTAAGCGACTTTGTACCCCAAAGTTGTGTTCAATGACAATAACCTTGAAAGGCAAATGTGCAAACTGGGAAGCAAAATTTGACCAATGCTACAAACATTTTGAAGGCAGTGAAAATGTGTGACGTAGATGGTGAGGTGTTGAATTGAAGCAATGTTTTTTAATTGATGATTCTCAAACATTATATTATAAAGGTGAGTATTAATTAATTAAGTGAGTAATAATTACTCCTCCACACCTTTTGTGTGTTTTTGATTAGGTTGACCTTCAGTTTCTGGATGAAGTGATTTCTGACGGGGCTGATCCAAACAGCTGTGACCGATATGGACAGACCATCATGCACGAGGTCATCATATGATGTTTTCCATTTTTTTTAATTCTACATTTTTTTGTTTGGTTTTGCTTAAGCTGTTTACTATAACAGGGCCATGCTACAAAAAATACAGTACAATGAGTCACAATCCTCACATTGAGTTTAAGTGTTTCTTGGGGGGCGCTGGTTAAGCTGAATTGGTAGAGCAGGTGCCCCATGTACAGACTACAGTATAGCCTTCATCGCACTGGTCTTCAGGTTCAGCTCTCAGTCCTGGCCCTGTTTGGAGCACGGTATCCCCCAGTCTTGTCTTTCTCAAAACTGTTCTATCAAATAAAGGCTATAAGCTCTTCAAACATTTTGTGCCAACAAGTGCCTTTTAAGAGACAGTCAGATAAAAATAGAATTAACAATCATTTGTATTTTTTTTTTTTACAAATAAAAGTTTAATTGCACACACAAACACTGCTCTGTTGTTATTTTTCAGATTTCCAGGGCATGGAGTGTGGATGTATTGCGATTCTTCTTCGACCGGGGCGCAGACCTCCTCCGACCAGATCAGTTTGGAGTCACAGCACTTCATGTGGCCTCGGCGCTGGACTATCAGGACATGGTTCAGTTCCTGCTAGACCATAACGGTTAGTGTGAACAGACAGAGTTAAATGAAGGCTTTGGGACTATAGAGAACACAAGGAGACACAAAATGACCAAAATGATTCAGCTGGACCTTTTGCATTTCTCTAAGAGCGGTTGGCTGTAGGACTATGGGGGGGAGGGGCTATTTTACATTCTTGTGCCTAAGGTACAATTCTCGTAATATGTCCCTAAATTATTTTCAACATTGTAATGAAAACCTGAATCCTGAACTTTTCTTTCCAGGCTATATACAAAGTTCAGCTGCCTACATAAACATTGTAATAAAATCAATGACTTTTTTTAAAAGCATTCAACAACTAACACTCCTGTACGTTTCTATTTTGGGAAGAATATCGGAAACTGAAATTGTCCAGATTTGTTCTGTTTATTCAAACCTGATCTGATCAAAGGGTTTGTGCATTTGCTGTCCTCAGCTGACCCAGAGGCTCGGACTCTTCTGGACCAGCAGACTCCTCTTCACTATGCTGCCAAGAATGATGCTGCAGGTTCAATCAGACTGCTGCTGCAGGCCGGAGCCTCCATCAGATGCATCGACTACAAACACAGAACTCCACTGCAGCTCGCTGCCAACCTTGGTACGACCGTCATCATCAACCATAACAGACATCCCCCCCTACTTCTACACTCTTATCACCACTGATATCACCATGACTACACAACTGATATTACCACTTATTCTACCGGATCAATACTAGCTATGTGTGTTTTCAGAGCGCAGTGAAGCAGCTCGGGTGCTGTTGGAGCTTGGAGCGGAGGCTGGGATGATAGACTCTGACGGACAGCTCTGCATAACTGCCCTGACCGGTCGGATGAGCCCTGTGGTAACAATTACTTACCTACTGACAATTTACAGGGTTATGACTGGTCCAATAATAAATGAGTATTGACTTACAGTAAAAAGAAGAGAGTACAATAGAACAGGGTGTATCTTGTTTGTGAATAATTATATTGTTGTGTTCAGGCCCTGCTGGCACTCAGCCAGTTCCATGTGAGTGACAGATTAACCAGACAGCAGTTCTACTACCTAAACCTGCTGGAACCAGAAACAACCAAGGCTCCCCAACAAGGTAGCACTAACACTAATGCATTCATTTTTCACTGGTCCATGACTCTCCATGGCATCTTTAATGGACTTTTACAGGTCATTTACTGGTCTTCCACTCACTACCAACTGGTCCAGAAGAAAGATGAGACCAGTATAGTTTTAGTCTTATAGTCATCTGGGAAAATACTGCGATGGCATTGTTGTCCTTCTTGCTGTAATTGATGTTAGTATTAAAACTGCTGATACTGATACTGCTTTTTTCCATTTACTATATGATTGTATACATTTTCACTTATTGGTATGTCTGTCTGCTCTTCTGATACTCTGTCTGACTGACCATCTGTTTGTGTTTTAAAGAAGCCGTCATCAGTGAGCCAACATCTCCAGTAAGTTTCACAAATTAACTTCACTTTATTATAGTGTGTGAAGTTAGCTGAACTGGAAACTATTAATCAATCAATCAATCAATCAATCTGTATTTGTATAGCGCCAATTCATAACACATTTTATCCCAAAAGAGAAGTTAAAGACCTTAATTTGTGTTATAGTATTTAAGAATATAAGACCCAACATTAATCCGTCATGAGCACTCCGTAACATTTAGTAAAGTTACAGTGGAAAGGAAAAACTGCCTTATCACACTACATTGTCTTGCACCGATTTCAGCTTTCATTGTGCAGTGGTGAGTGTATGATTTAACGAACTACAGAGCGCAGAAGTGTTAAAAGTGTATGGTGGAATTTAAACAGTGTGCAGTTTATAGTAAAGGAAAATATAATGTGCAGTGAGGTAGCAATGTAACAAACCAGTAACCAGTGTGCAGTGTGCAACGTGTACTCACTTCAGTGTGCACTGAACATTGATCATTGTACTGTGTGCTGTACAGATCAATATGAACAGTGTACAGTGTATAGTGAACAAACCACAGTCTGAAGAGAACATAAAGTTAGCAATAACAGTTTACAGTGAAAATTGTGCAGTGAACAGAGTAAGGTCTGCTGCAATCTGTTTACTGTGAACCATGTTTTATGAACCATGTATAGTGAACAGTTAAAAATTACCTGTGTAAAGTTGGAAAGTGAGTTTGTCTTGACCCTTGTGTATTGAACAATGTATAAGGTGTCACACTGTATTGTGAGCGGTTAACAGCAAAAAGTGTAACTTAAGCAAATCTGTTTGGTCCCTGCTCTCAGCTGGAGGTGGTGGTGCACCAGGGGAAACTGGACCTCATCATGCATCCAGTCTTCCTTAAACTGATTCAGATCAAATGGAAACTATACGGCAGGTAAAGTCCAATCTGGTTTTGTTTAATTCACTGTAAATCTTCACTGAGTCGACCCTTAGATGATCATATCCCTGCTCTACCTGCCTGTTTGTCTCTACCAACCTGTGTGTGTCGGTGCCAGACTGGGGGCTTGGCTTCTCCTTATCCTCAATATCCTATTCAATGTCTCCTGGACAACCGTGGCTATCTCTGTGTCTGTCCACAGAAACTCACCTGATCGCTACACCCTCCCTGAGGTGATGTGTCTGTCTGTCCGTCTTACTGTCTTTACCTTGCTGACACTTTTTTTTAACCATCTGTCTGTTCCATCACTTTGTCTGTCCCACTCAGGACTGGTGGCGGGTCTTCTCTGTGGTTCTGGCACTCATGTTGACTCTGGAGGAGGTGCTAAGGGAGGTGCAGGACATCCTGCGCTCAAGAAAGAGGATGCGCCTCTGGCGTCAGTGGGCTGAGCGCCGTCTCCATGATGACCTGCAATGCTCACATCCTATGTGGCCTCAGGTAGGAAATCACAGGTTCAACATGAAGTAAAATCCATTTGTACCAAATATGAATGTGCGACCACCATCTGGATTTCAAAGCTTGTAGAATACAAGCATGTGTGTGTGCGTGTGTGTGTGCGTGTGTGTGCGTGTGTGTATGTGTGTGTGTGTGTGTGTGTGTGTGTGTGTGTGCGTGTGCGTGTGTGTGTGTGTGTGTGTGTGTGTGTGTGTGTGTGTGTGCGTGTGTGTGTGTGTGTGTGTGTGTGTGTGTGTGTGTGTGTGTGTGTGTGTGTGTGTGTGTGTGTGTGTGTGGGTAGGAGAGAGTTTTCCTCTCAGCTCAGAACCAAAGGATTTACAGAATGAGAGGAAACTACCGTCATGACCTCTGGTATGACCCATATACACACAAACACTTTTTTGTCAAAGGTAACATTTTGAATAGTTGTATATAAAAAATTCAATTCAATGATTACAGTGATAGAGTCAGACTGTCATAACAACAATGCTTTTATTTCACATGAAAAATTCATCAATTATAGTCCTAAGACACATACCAGAACAAAAGAGTTTAGAATGTTCTTCTCAAGGTGTTGAATGTAATGAAATTATAAACAAATTAATTATTGTTTTTAATGTTTTTTTTTCTTGTTACGTAAGGAGGCCAAATAACTAACGACTGTGTGTGTGTGTGTGTGTGTGTGTTGTGTGTGTCAGGAATGTGTTTGACTGGGTGGTGTACTCTCTGCTTACAGTGTCGTTTAGCAT